CAGGGGAGATGGACAGCTTGGAAACGTGGGCAGGGGCGCTGGATGGGGCTGTGTCAAGGTGTGAAGGTGATGAGGTATATGTCGAATATCAACAGAAGCATGGCAGTGAAAAAACATGCAACGTGTCCACCAAACACACACACACACAAACACAAACAACAACAACACACACACGCGCACAAACACAAACACAAACACAAACACACAACAACACAAACACAAACACAAACACAAACACACAACAACACAAACACAAACACAAACAACAACACAAACACAAACAACGTACCGCAGTCGGAGAAGCTGAAGGACTTCAGGGTGATGCTGGTAGGGTTTTCCTTGTGCAGGCGCATGACCGTGGGATCTGTGTGCAGGTGCATCTTCTGCACAGGCACGCCGGCAGCCACTGCCACAAGCATGGCCGCCAGCACAACAGCAAACGCCGTGTTCATCGTCGTCGTCGTCTTTGAAGCTTGGTGGGGAAGGGAGAGATCTGTGTGTTTGTCAGTCAGTGGTGGAGGAAGTGTTTGTTGTGGTTTCGTGCTCCAGGAAAAGTGTAGGAAAATACGACCAATCGCCAATTGTGCCTGTTTTTGGCAACAGCAGCAGGTGGCGCTGATTGAAGAGATAGCAGCAGCCCACAAGAAGGCGAGTGCTGGTTGACCAGCACTTGTATGCGATGTGTATGTGTGTATGTGTGTGTGTGTATGTGTGTGTGTGTGTGTATGTGTGTGTGTATGTGTGAATGCGTGTGTGTGTGTGTGTGTGTGTGTGTTTGACTGTGAGTGCATCCCTGCGTGTATGTGGTTGGTTTTTCTGTTCAAGGTGTTCTCTCATGTACGCTTCTTGCTTGCTAGCGCTTTTGATTGCCCCCTTCCCCTTTCCGCCACCTCACCTCACCTTGCCTCTCTCCCACATCGCCCCGCCTCCACACACAGAAGGGGCTCTCGTTTGCACTGCTATGTCGACACATTCCGCCGCCGTTGGGCAGCAACAACAGCCTGCACTGGCAGCAGATGAGATTTTGCTGCTCCATGCGCCACCACCTGCCCTGCTCTGCCGCATCTGCCACGGGCTCTTGGTCGATCCAGTCATCAGCGTCGCGTGCGGCCACACTTTCTGTCGAGCATGCGTGCAGCCGCCAGCAACACCGCGCAGCCGCCAGCAAGACAGGCGGCTGCCGCAGTCAACCGCATCGACGCCGGGACAGCTGTACACCCGTCCCCCTGGCCATGGCGATGGAAGCGACACGAACCGCACGCCATCGCAGCTCCGCCTCACCCAATCCATGATGGATCCGCAACGGTCCGAGCACAGCTTTGGCAGCCCCACGGCTCCCGGTGGCATGTTGTCACCACCGCCACAACAACAACAACAGCAGCAGCAGCAGCAGCAGCAGCAGCAGCAGCAAACCTTGGAGCGTTCACATGGGGGATCTGCATCATCCCCACTCTTCTCTGCAGATGCACAGACCACCGACGTTGATGCTGCGCTTGCGAACGCAGACAGCGCACAACACAGCCAAGGTTATGGCAACGACGGCAACGGCGGCGACACTCACACTTCACCTCACGCACAGCAACGCAATGATGCTGGTCATGGTGGTGGACATGGTCACGGTCATGAGTATGATTCGCACAGCCAACACACGTCCTCCCACCCATCACACCCATCACACCCACCTCACCAACTGCAAGCATTCTCACCGCAACCTCAACCACGACTACTCTCATCAGCATCGCCGTCATCAGCTTCGCTGTCGTCCATGCAGCAGCAGCAGCAGCAGCAGCAGCAGCAGCAGCAGCAGCAGCAGCCAGCGGCGGCCATCACGTGCCCGATCCACAACATCGTGCTACAGGGCACCCCGCTCGTCCCCAACATTGCCATTGAGGAGCAGGTCGCCTTGGTTGCCCTCTACTGCCCATATGTGACGGTGGTGGAGAGCGAGGAGGTGCCAGAGGACGCAGCACCCGTCTTCACGCGCTATGCGAGGCGCATTGGCTTCATCAGCTTCTCCAGCAAGTGCCGCTTCACAGGCACGCGTGCAGAGGTTGAGGCACACAGGTCCGCGTGCGCATGTGCGCCGCGGCCCTGTCGCAACAGCGAGCGCTGTGGCCTCATCCCTGCTGACCAGATGCACATGCACCTGGCCACGTGCCCTTACACCAAGTGTCGCAACAACGTGTTTGGCTGCCGGCAGCGGGGCCATCCAGCAGACATGGCGCACCACGAGAAGACGTGCATGTTTGCCAACTCGCCGCTGGCGCAGCAAGGGCGCATGCTCTCTGAGCTGGAGGCCGGCTTCCACATCCTGGCGGAGAACATGAAGAAGATTACCCGTCGCATATCTGCCATGGAGATGAAGCAGACAGGGCTGCAGCGGGCCGTAACCGCCACCAATGGCCAGCACGCCGCCACCGCAACACCATCGTCGTCATCCGCCACCGTGATACCGACACCAACCACAGATGGCCGGCCAATGATGACGACCACCATGGCAGAGCAAGATGGTGTGGAGATCGCGTACGTGTCACCGGCAGCACGCGCGTTGGCGATATCGGGAACAGCCACGCCTCGTGGACCTGTCTCTTCCGTGGATGCTGTTCGCAATGGCGGTGCAATTGATGGTGGTGGTGCTCGTGTTGATGGTGGTGTGGATGGTGATGGCGATGTTGGCAACGCGGGTACCCGCGACCCACGTGGAAGCCAGCAGCACTACTGGAACCAGCAGCAGCACCACCACGGTGGGCAGCGCGGAGGCCGAGGTGTTGGTGAGACACCTCTAACCGATGCCATGACAGTACCCTATCACCACCCTCAAGACCATCAACATCAGCAGCAGCAACGGCAGCAGTTTGGGGAAGTCGGGGAGGAAGACACTGCGCGCGGCCCGATGTATGGGCAAGGTCGTGGTGATGCCAGCAGACCAACAATGGCAGCAGCAAGTGCCGACGTGCAATCCAACGGCACTGCGTCACCAGCGCCATCGTCACAGGCTGAATCCATCACCTCCACCACCGCCACAAAGGGAACACGCAGGTCCGCCACAGCCGCCACTACCAGCGCTACTGCCGTTCAGCACTCGGCGCTGCCTGGCCAGCATGTGCGGGGCATGTTTCTCAAACCGCAGGATGTGTTTGATTCGCGCGGGTGCCTTGCTATGCCCTTCCACTTCCAGTGCATCGGCACATTTGGGGCGCACACGGGGCCCGTGTGGTGTCTGGCGGCATACGAGACGCTCATGTTCACGTCGGGATCGGAGGAGACAATCAACGTGTGGGATTTGGGCCGGGACGAGCCCGCGCGTGTGCATGTGCTGGCAAGTCACACGGCGATGGTGCACTCACTCACGTGCAAAGGACAGCGCCTCTTCAGCGGCGACGCAGACGGCATCGTCAAGGTGATGACGACACGTGTAGTGGGTTTGGTTGGGTCAAACTGGTTGGGTTGGTGGGGGTTGGCTGTTTGTGGTGCTTTACGCCTGCCATGCTGCTGACACAATGGCTGTTAATGTTGATGTACCTGTGAACGGCAACTTGCGTCAGGTGTGGAACGTCCTTACCTTTGAGTGCCTGCTCACCTTCCAAGCAACAGAGCACATTTGTGCTGCCATGACCTGCGCCAAACACTTTCTCGGTGCGTCAACGTGTGTCTCTGTGTGTGTGTGTGTATGCTTGGAGAGGAAGAGGCTTTGTCGTCATGGGTGCTCTGTTCTCTCATGTTCTGACGCCAGCACAAGACGGTATGGTATGCGTCTACATGAGCACTCATGTATCCTTGTGTGCGTGCGTGTGTGTCGCAGTGACGACGTCGTTCTCAAGCATCTCCGTGTGGGACACGATCAAGGGCCGGTGCTTGTACAGTGTCAACGACGATCTCAATCATTGGGTCCGCGCCGTCGCACACGACCCGAGCGAACAAGTCGTTGTCACCGCAACACACAACGTTGTCAGTTTCTGCACGCGCTCAAGCTCGCTGCTTACTTGTGTGTGTGTGTGTGTGTGTGTGTGTGTGTGTGTGTCTGTTTGTATGTGTGTGCGTGTGCATGTGTGTGTGTCTGTTTGTATGTTGTCTATATGTGCGTGTGTGCGTGTGTGTGTGTGTGTGTCTGTTTGTATGTTTGTGTGTGTTGGGTAGTTTGTTAGTCTGTTTTTGTGCCTCGTTCGTCAAGCCGCCCATCAGCTCAAGTCTGTGGGTTGGCCAACCTGCTCCAACTTTCGCTTCAATGCCAATGTCAGCCTGTTTTGGCCGTTCCTTTCCACGACATGATCGCTCATCCCTTCCCCACCCGCCCCCAACATGCCCGCTATTGGTGCATCAGATCCACGTGTGGTCGATCCCATCGTTCAAGTGCGAGCAGCGGCTAGAGACAACAAAGGGCTCCATCCACAGCCTTGCCGTGACCTCGCAGTACATCATCAGCGGCACGTACAACCGCAACATTCACCTGTACCGCCTCGACACGCTGGCACACGTTGGCGAGATCCGCGGCCATCTCGGCACCATCCACGCCCTCAGTGCGTCGCCCTGCGGTCAATTCCTCTTCTCAGCCTCCATCGACGCCACCGTACAGGTGTGTTTTGTGTGTAAATGTGTAAGTGTGTGTGTAAATGTGTGAGTGAGTGTGTGAGTGTGTGCGTGTACATGTGCGTGCGCACGTATATGTGTATTTATGTGCATGTGCCTGTGTGCCTGTGTGCCTGCATGTGTGTGCGTGTGTGCCGTAGCTTCGTTGACATGGCATCATGTCCATCACTCTCATCCTGAGAACACACACAATGCTCTCTCCCTCCTCTCCATGCACAGATTTGGAATCTGCAGAACCGGCTGCTGATACAAACGCTGATCCGGCACGATGGCAGCGTCAACGCCCTTCTCTTTCACAAGAGTCTTCTCTTCTCTGGTTCCGCAGACAAGACGCTCAAGGTGTGGCGGACACAAAGGGGGCACAGAGAGGCAAAGAGGGACAGAGAGGTAGAGAGGGATAGAGTGACTTGTTTGAATGTGACAACACAAAGTCAACCAGCTTGCAAGGCTTACGCGTTGTCTCGTTTGTCCTTGGCACACAAACGCCACCCCCACCCTCCAACCTCTTTCGTACAGGTGTTCAAACCGCACCACGGGCTGGCGCCGAAAGCGGAGGCGCAACCGCCGCAGGACTCAAGCCTGCAGGCATGCTGGGGCGGTGGCAAGCTGCCGCCCGCTTACGCCATGCTCGCCCAGGAGAAAGGTGATGAGACCCACAGAACACACACACACACACGCACACACACACACACATGCACGCACGCACGCATATGGCATCGTGTGGTTTGTTGCTGGTGACTTGGTTCTTGTGTATATGTTTGTTTGTTCTTTGCATGCATTCATTTTTGGATTCATGTCTTCTTCTTTTCAGCTGCACCTCCCATGCTCTCCTCTTACATCAAGCTGCAAACTACACTTCTCATCACATGTTGTGTTTGCCCTTGCTTGCAGGCAAGCGAAAGACGCCCGCGATTGACAAAGTCATGTCACCGGTGGCGTCACCATCCAAGATGAGACCCGACCGCTCCCCCTCCATTCGCTCCTCAGCCGGTCCGTGCACACACACACACACACACACACACACACACACACACACACACACACACACACACACAGAGAGAGAGAGAGAGAGAGAGAGAGACACACACACACACACAGAGAGAGAAACACAGAGAGAAACACACACACACACACTCACGCACAGACGGACAGACACACGCACATACACGCACATACACGCACATACACGCACATGCATCCGCAACACGTGACACGAACTCACCACATTTCCGCACAATCCCGCTCTTGCTCTTCAACAGCGGACACGATCAGCAACACGTCTGTGTCCCCTGCATCCACGCGTCGGTCCACAGCAACCGTGAATCAGCATCCGTCACACCGCTCACGTGACGTCTCGCCCATGATGGGCGCAGACACACGCAGCCGCGATGTCACGCCAACACATGCACACGCACACGCACACGTGCGTAATACCAGCGCTACCAGCAACAACTACTTCAGTCCGCAGTACGCATCGCCCCAGGTGCTTTACCAACACCAGCAGCGGGAAGGCGAGCGCGTGGGACGCGCCCTCGACGACGGACTTGGTGTGTTGCCGCTGCAGCCATCACCCAACAGCACGAACACGGGCAAGTCACCCAATACAGCAGCCGTGACAGCAGCAACAGCAACAGGAGCGGTGGTTGTTGCGTCGTCGCCAGCGTTCAGTACAGCGTCGCCTCTTGGCCGCGCGCTCAACACTGGCGCGGAGGGGGCGAGCACAGGCCCGCTCACGTCCACGCCCACCCGCGCCGTGCCCGGTGGTGACGGAGGCGTGGCCCCGACGCAGCGGGCAGACGAGGGCGACCGCTATCAGCAGCAGATGCAGCCACGGGTCGGTGCAGTGGAGGGGCGGCGTCCCATGCCAGGTGTGATGATTCAGCCCCCGACCCCATCTGCAACGGCAGCACACATGCCGCACCCAGAGTACGAACAAGCACAAACTCCGGAACATCAGCAGCAACAACAGCAACAGCAACAGCAGCAGCAGCAACAGCAACAGCAGCAACAACAGCAACAGCAGCAATCACAGCCGTGGGTGCTTCGATCAATGACGAAAACGCCCCACCTGTCGCGTTCACCCTTTGCTCTGCGTCGTCATGGCAGCGGCAGCGGTCATGGTCATGGTGGTGGGGACGGCTCGGCCAACTCGAGCACACGGGGACGCCGCTCCCCGCACATGCGCAGCGCCATCAGCGTTGAGTCTGTCGATCGCACCGCCCGCGCTGGCGAGAGCGTTGATGGTGATGGTGGCGGAGACGGTGATGGTGGTCGTGACCATGCACACGAAGATGGTGACGGAGAAGGTGATGTGTCGCTCCTGTTTGCGGCGCGGCCTGGCCGTGTGCGGCCTGGTTTGAACACGGCAGCGCTTGCACGCGTGGCGCAGCAGCAGGAGGCGCTACAACGGCACCTACAGCAGCAGGAGCAGCGGCTGCAGCAGTGGCACGACCAGCAGCTTCAGCTCAGGCAAGGGCAGCCGCAGCAACAGCTTCAGCAGCAGCAGCAGCAGCAGCAGGGCGCTGATGTCGGTGGTGGTAAAGCAGTGGGCGGGGGTGTAGAGTATGATGATGGTGGCCATGATGGCGAGGCTGTGGATCACGGTCATGGTGACGGGGCGAGCAGGAACGGAGGCAGCGTGCGGGGTCGGGTGGCGTGTGCAGATGAGGATGGCGCATGGCAACCGTGGCGCGATGATGGCAACGACGACGACGATAATGATGGTGATGGCAGTGGTGGCAAAGCTGTAAACCACAGCGCTGGCTTCACTGCCCACCACGCGTCCCAGCCATACACCTCACAACAACAACAACAACAACAACAACAACAACAACAACAACAACAACAACAACAACAACAACAACAACAACAACAACAACAACAACAACAACAACAACAACAACAACAACAACAACAACAAGATGTGGTGGCACCTGTAGCAAGCAGTGCAGTCTCTGTTGCAACGACCGAGGATCGTGCATCTATTCCCGTTGACGCCACGCCCTCTGTGAGCGAAGTGGACACACGCGGACACACGCGCACAGACTCCAAGCAAGGCGGACATGGCGGCAACAGCGATGGCATCGACAGGAGAAAGAGCGATCACGATGGTGGCCGTCGTCATGGGGATCAACATCATGATGGTGATCACCTTCACGATCACAGCAACAATGGCAACAACAACACCAACACGGTCAGGAGTGACGACAATGACAATGATGATGATGATGATGATGATGGCCACGTTGACAAGAGCGGCACCCTGCATGACGAGACGCGCGATGGTAGCGATGGTGGCGATGGTGGTGGTGCTGAGACGAGCCTGTCGTTCAGCGGTCTCGGTGACCCTCGCATGCAGACGGCATCGCTGACGGCGGAGCAGCTGCAGCAGTGGCAGGACGAGCAGCGTGCAGCGAGGAAGCGCGCCGCTAAGAAGAAGGCCCGCAGGCGAAAGCGCAAGCAGGAGCGGCTGGCAGAGACGCGATCCTCGTCCACAGACCAACTCGACCTACAGCAGCAGCAGCAGCAGAGTGCTAGGAAACGGCGGTCTGGCAGTGGCAAGCGCAAACCGCGAGGTGTGTTGTTGTTGTTGTTGTTGTTCTTGTTCTTGTTCTTGTTCTTGTTCTTGTTCTTGTTCTTGTTCTTGTTCTTGTTCTTGTTCTTGTTCTTGTTCTTGTTCTTGTGCCTTGCCTTTGTCCTCGTGGGCTCGTCCTACTCTTGCGTGCTTGTGCGCCAAGCGTTGACCTTGCCCATTTTGCTCTGCCGGAGTCAGCAACGTTGCTTCCGTTTGTGCACAGCCGCGTCACCATCATGCATGTGTGTTGTTCACCCTCGATTTGGTTGCTGCGCATGACGTGCCTGTGTCCTTGCCAGAGAGCGGAGGTCTTCAAACAACGGCAACTGCGCGCGCAGCAGATATGGGAGGAGCCACCCCACTCGCCCCGCTGCCGACACACCCGCACCACAGCGGCAAGGACCACAAGCATCACAAGCTTGAGAAGCAGCAGCACCAGCACCACCATCGCCACCACCACCACGAGCATGCACACTCGACCCCGAAGGCGACACCATCAAAGGCGGGCAAGGCTGCGGTGGTGACGCGGGCGGATATGAAGCTGCAGCACAGCCAGGAGGCCATCACCCGGTTCATCGACTCCAACCCGCAGATGGAAGAGAAGGATGTGCTGGCCACCGTGCCCGTGGTGACGTTCCCTGGCGAGGAGCATGCGGCGGCCAAGGGGCAGGCAGATGACGACGAGCTCACGCGTGTGCTCCACGCGACTACTGGTGATGCTGATGCTGATGCTGATGCTGATGCTGGTCGCGGTGATGGTGGTGGCATGGGCGGAGGGCGATTGGAGAGAAGCGGCGGTGATGAAGAGCTGGAAGCCACAGCCACCTTTGATTTTGAATTGCGCGGCAGTACGAAGGGCATTTCGGATCGCCTTGCGTCGCTTGACGGTGACCTCACGCGGCTGCTCGCACAAGCGCAGATCAACGAAGAAGAGAGTGCAGTGTAGTGTATGTGTATGTGTGTGTGTGTGTGTGTGTGTGTGTGTGTGGTTTTGGGTAGGTTGCGTGTGCGCACTGTAGCGCGACATGTGTTCAATTCGCGCGTCCATGTAATCGATTGATTGACCGTATGTCTTGTACATTCTCGACTGTCATCGTTTTGTTGGTGTGTAACTTATTTGGTTGGTTGGTGTGATTATGGTGTTCGTGTTGGGGTGCAAGACGTCGGATGCTGGCGCATGCATGCCTGCTCGTGTCCGTGTCCAGGCCGCCACCACCTGTCTATTTCATACGACTACAACCAACTGCTAAGATGCCATGCGGAGGTTGGAGGCAGAATACAGCATGTGTGTGCATGTGTGCGCGCTTTGTGCGGGTGTGCGCGCTTTGTGCGGGTGTGAGTGACACACACACACACACACACACACACACACACACACACACACACACACACACACACACACACACACACACACACACACACACACACACACACACACACACACACACACACACACACACACACACACACACACACACACACACACACTGAATTCAGTTTTCTGGACAATGCCGTTACGAAGCGAGGCGAAAGGTGAGGGTGCTGTTGCCATGATGCAGGCTGTGCGCGGTGCTGTGCGCGGTGCTGTGCGCGGTGCTGTGTGCGGTGCTGTGCGCGGTGCTGTACGCGGTGCTGTGCGCGGTGCTGTGCGCGGTGCTGCTTGCTTGCTTGGATGCTTTGCCGACTTGCCAGCTCGAGCACTGAGCACAGCCACAGGTGGGCTGGTTTGTCTCATTCAGGAACCAAACTGCTTGCTGCTGTGTCTCTCTGCGATTGCCAGGGTTCCCAAAGCGCAAAGGGAAGGCCGGTGGAGGTGCAGCATACGTTCCGAGCGTCGACGCAGAAGATTCGCCGCTGCCTCGAGCGCAGGTCAGACATGAGAGCCACGCACCTTGGCGTGCGCGCGACTTGCATGCGTGCTTGTGTGCATGCATGTGTGCTTCGTGGTGTTTGTTGACTGCGTTGTGCGCCAAGGCTGCAGCTGATCATGTGTTTGAGTGTCCTTTTCACGATGCGACACTCGACTATGTCATGCGTCACGCCCGCCACGCTACTATGTCATCCCAGACCTGCATTCGAACAACAAGCCCACACGTTCACACACACACGCACGCACGCACACATGCAGAAACTCGGAAGCGTCTCCACGGAACCTGAGCCAGTAGGTTTGGTGCTTCTCTCTGCTTCTCTGCTAGCTTCCTTGTGAATACTTGTCTTCTCCGCTGCTCTCTTTGCACTGGACAATGTTGGGTTCTTGGACCACATACGTCACTCGCTTGCTTTTCTCTCATGTCGCTGTGCTTACACAGAAGCGTAAACCAGCTGCACTTCTTCTGCGCGATCCAAGCGAAATGGTGCGTGCATGTGTGTGTGTGTGTGTGCGCGCGCGCGTGCGCAAGTCAGTGTTCGCAAGTGTGGGTGTGCAAGTCAGTGTATGCAAGTATGTGTGTGTGTGTGTGTGTGTCCACTGACGTGAGGTGTGCTTTGCTTATATGTGAATGGCTGTAGTCAAGACCACGCACCGCAGATTCCTGGGGATCCTGGGACGAAATGATGTCAAGGTTGTGCAACTCGATGAACCATGACAGACGTTGGGATGCAATGCGGGCTTATATAACGGATGAGCAACACTCACGCGCGGTTGCTTGTTTCTACCAATCGCTAAATGTCATCACACTGACATGTTCGCACCCTACTACCCACGCACCTACTCATACGTGCGTACTTGTATGCACGCGCGCACACGTGCGCTTGTCCCTACCCACGAATGCCTGTCAGGGATGAGGAGTCACCACTAGCATCGCCAAGGACGTCGGCACCCCCAAACCAGCTGCCAGACACCGCAACAGCCAACCAGCCGCCCAAGGCCCCCATACAGCGCCAAACACAGGCAGCCACGACTGCTGGCGACGACAGCAGCGATTGGGACTTTGATGACGATGATGACAATGGCGGTAACGGTGGCGCGGTCAGCAAGCCGACAAGTGGGCAAATCAGTGCTGTTGGCAGCAGTGGTGCTGTGAACAAGACAGCTGCACATGTGCAGCCGATCTCCCCATCTCCGCCCACCAAGTCCCCAAAGCCATCCGCAGGGTGCGCATGCGTTTGTGTGTGTGTCTGTGTGTGTGTTTGTGTGTGTGTCTGTGTGTCTGTGTGTGTGTCTGTCTGTCTGTCTGTGCGTGTGCGCTGTGCTGTTGCTGTTTCTTGACACCACGTTACTCTCGGTCTCACCCACCATTGCATATGCCTTCCGCAACAAACAACCACTACCACAACAACAACTACCCACGATTACGATCACGATCACGATCCCCACCTTGTGCTCGACCAGGTGGTTGTCTGTGCTGGATGACCCGTCCTCTCCACCGCAGGCACAAACAGCAACGGCGTCACAGCGAGCGCCATCTTCAACAGCAGCAGCGATGCCGCCAGCGCCCACGAGCTCGGGTGACAACAACAACACCAACAGTGTCACAGATGAATTGCAGCTGCAGCCGACACACCCGCAGCACGACGATGTGTTGCATGGGGACAGCAACACGGTCGAGAGTGGGGCGGGTGACGTGCACTCTGAGCACTTGCATGACAAACACCGAACTGCCCCTCGCCCCAAACCATTCAAAACACGAAAGAAAGGCAAGTCAACCAGCAAAGAAGGCCAACCTGCAGCAAGCAGTCGTGGCTTTGGTTCGCTCTTCCGTATGGGAAAGAATCGCCAACAGCAGCAGCAGCAGCAGCAGCAACAACAACAACAGCAGCAGCAGCAACAACAACAACAACAACAGCAGCAACAACAACAACAACAACAACAACAACAACAGCAGCAGCAGCAGCAGCAGCAACAACAACAACAACAGCAACAACAACAACAACAACAGTACGGTGGTGAAGTGATGACAGGCCCCCCTCCGGTTGTTGCTTCACTGTCGCCCATCTCTGCAAACCAATCCAATGGATACTTGCAAAAACAAGCCGCTTTGCCGCAACTGCAACCGCAACACCAACAGCAACACCAACAGCACCAACAACAGCAACGACTGGGGGAAGAACAGGCCAAATCCACCGCTGCTGACATTCCTCCCAAGGTCCACACACATGTACACGTTGGCCTTGATGACGCGACGAGCAGTGGACAGTTCAACCTTGCTTCTGAACAGCAACTCAGGCATTGGGAGCAGGCAAACGCAGGAACCTTTTGTGGCGCTTCAGTGGATGAACATTCCAGGTAGGTATACGTGTGTGCCTGTGTGTGCTTGTGTGCATGCACATGCGTGTATCTGCGTGTATGCTTGTCTTCTTGATGCTTACAGCTGCGTTTCCTCACAAACACCCCTCCGCTTCCTTCTTCGCCATCTGTCCATTCACGCCGTTGCCTGATGTGCAAGGATGCCGCTTGTGTTCCACCCCATCTCGTCCCCGTCGTCGTTCACGGCGCGCACGTGGCGAAACACGTCATCTGTGGACACATGTGGCGATCGCACGGAAACAGACGCAAGAAGGGGCTTTGCTGCTGCATTTTCTGGTGCGTTTTCATTGTCGAATACCGTTGTTCGCTTCATGGTGTGGACGATACTGCACATGCACGCGTGCCATTGGTGCATGTGTGTGTGTGTGTGGGGGGGGGGGACAAAGCCTCGTTGTTGTGGTGGCTGACTCTCATCCGACAAACATGGTGTATTCCATCCCTCTCGCTGTCTTTGACTTCACATCAGGTCTGCGTTCTGGAGTGGATGTGATTCTGATGTTCTTCCTGGAGGCCCTGACGTTCGCCCTCTACGTCGTCCGAAAGGTGTGTATGTGTGTGTGTGTGCGTATGGATGTGTATGTGTGCTTGTGTGTGTGGTGTGTACAAGTGTGTGGTGTATGGATGTGTATGTGTGTGCTTGCATGTCGCGTTATGTTCGTGTGATGTTGGGTGTCTTGCCCTGCTGTACTCACGCCACCAACGTCACTGTACGCCTGGCCACCAGCTTGTTGTGGAAGCGCTGGCGCTGATTGCGGATTTGCTGCTGAAACCGCTCCTGCACGCTCTCTTCAACGACATTCTCCACCCGGTCTTCGTCTTCCTCATCAACGTCGCGTCAAGCATCGCGGTGAGGCAACGACAGGGGGAAGGACGGGAGGAGGCGGAGCAGGAGATGGAGATGGAGACACATAATGTGTGTGTGTGTGTGTGTGTGTTTGATGTTGCTTCTTGTGTTCTAACGCTGGATTCATTCCACTCACTCCCACCCGCGTGTTCAGGCTGTGCTTGAAGTTGTTGGGCGATGGATTGAACCATTTGTCTCTCTCATCGAACGCCTCCTCAGGTCTGTGTGTATGTGTTTGCATATGTGCGTGTGTTTTTGCATATGTGTGTATGTGTTTGCATATGTGTGTGTGTTTGCATGTGTGTGCGTGTGTGTTTGCACATGTTTGTATCGTCCAAATACTCTCCACCGCTTCCTTTCTCCGCCCCCCCCCCCCAATAGTGAACTTGAGTTCAGATCTCACCATCCGCGCCGTATCCCCACAGATCCTTCCGGCTTGTTGAAGTCAACCAAGGGAAACCAGCACGAGCATCAAAGTTGCAAGAGCCGCTCGACGTGTAACAGCGACTTTCTTTGTCACCAACACTTTTCACACACGCGCGTAAAAACTTGTGCATGGTTTCTCTGCTAGCTTACAAGGTTTGTTTTTGTCTCTGTGGGTTGTCTTTCATTCCCTCTTTCCTGCTGTGTTCATACGCCCATCCACCGTCACCTGCATGCCTACACACACACACACACACACACACCTCACGCACACACACCACACACACACGCTTTTGTGCTTACTTGAACTTCCTTCCATTTGCGGTGAATGCTTTTGTTCTGTCTTCTTGTTCATTTCATTGGCGCAACACCTGGTGGTTCATGTGTCCCATACAAACATCGCCATGCAATTTCAACAGTGAATGAAAGCATGTTACGACTTGTGATACAAACCAGCGTGAAGCAAGCCACTTGTGACAGCCGTGAGCAAAGCGATTGCGAAACACGACTCGCAGAACGGAGATGTGGTGTCACGTCACTGCAGGTATCGTCCAGCGAACTTGGACGACAGCAGGCCAGCCTGCGCCAAGGCCACGCAGTCGACAGGATGGTGTGTTGTGAGACAAGAGCAATTCACTCACAAACATACGCCAGCGACAAAATCGCATCCGCCGTCATCCACACAAACGAAGAACTCACACACACCACACACCACACACACATACATCACACACACATACACACACACACTTACACCACACACGCACACACCACACACACATACATCACACACACATACACACACACACGCACGCACACACACACGCACGCACACACACACACACACACACACACACACACACACACACACACACACACACACACACACACACACACACACACACACACACACACACACACACACACACACCAAACTCACCTCGGATCGCACGCCACTGCCGCGCGCTCGCTGTGAGCTCGGGGGTCGTGGCACCAAGCCACTCCGGCCGTCACCACTCCGGCCGTCACCACCACCACCACCACTGCCGCCACTGCGCTGTGATGGCGACAGTGCTGCCTCATGTCCTCCTGCCTGTGCACGCGCACGCGGCTGTGCTGACTGCTTTCGCCCCTTCATCTCTGTCGATGGGCGGCTGCGTGGCGATGTGCCTTTCTTGCGACCACCACCACTGCCCTGTTTGTACTTGCGCATGATGCGCATGTAGGCCTCCTCGGAGGAAATGGGATCCGGCCGCTCACGGGACGGCGGGCGACGCGACGACGACGACGACGACCCGGCAGTACGCACACGCGCGCTGTCATGTTGATGGAGGGGAGGGGAGTTGAAAGGGGGCGGGGTGAGGTACAGAGCCGTGTGTGCGTATGCATGTGTGTGCGTGTGTGTGCGTGTGCGTGTGCGTGTGCGTGCGTGTGTGTGTGTGTGTGTGCGTGTGTGTGCGTGTGTGTGTGTGTGTGTGTACAACTTTCACAGGATGAACGCATGCGAATAAGAACAAGCACATACGCGCACACGTGTACACATGTGACGAGACTGACAACGCCACGGCCCAACGCAACGGCGTCACCTGTCTTTGGCTGGTGTCTGTTGACGACTCAATGAGGGCGCTTGATGGTGATGGTTGTGGTGACTGCTCTGCTGCGGTATTGGAGAGCGCATGTCCGCCTCAAACGAGACATCAGTGTCAAAGTTCTCCAGCCACATTGGCGTTGGCTCCGTCACCCTTGGTCAGGGGTGCAATGCATAGCCGTGATGGAGATAACAGTATACATTAGCTGAAGATGAACAGGTGCAGAGATCAAACAGACACACGAGCCCACATTGTACTCAACAACAGCCACACATACATATCACACACACATCACACGAGCATGCGAACACACACACACACATCACACACACACACACATCTCACTCAACAACAAGCACACTCACTCATTCACTCACTTGTACGGTTCTTCCTTCTTCTTTGGCTGCGGTGTTGGCTGTGGTGGCGATTGTGGTTTTGGTGGTGGTGTTCGTCTCGCTGCCTTCTCGTGCAACGACTGCAACTGCTCCTGTAATTGCTGTAACTGTTCTTCCAATTGCATGTTCGCCTGTCGGAGCGCCGGCACTTTCGCTGCCTCCCGCATCAGCTGCGTCTGCTTCTCCGCCACCAACCGCGATGCCGCTTGCTCCTCTTCCCGACACTGCAGCTGCACACGTTGTGCGTACGTGTGTGTGTGTGTGTGCGTATGTGTATGTGCGTGCGTGTGTGTGTGTGCGTGTGTGTGTGTGTGTGTGTGTGTGTGTGTGTGTGTGGCGGGAGGGTTTGACGGGTAGTTATGGGCATTCATGTCGCATCACGCACAACCAAACACACACACCTGCTGTTCGAGCTGGGCGACTTTGTCCTCCAATTCGCGCGTGTGTGCCAGCAATTGTTCCTCCTGTGTACGAGTACGAAGGAGCCATCAGCAACAAGAAAAGATCACACATGCGCACGTGCCAACCACACACACAAAAACACACACACACAACACACAACACACAACACGGCAATCAAGAAGGCAAATGATGCGCGAGTGATGATGTATCAAACCTTGTCCTGCTTGGTTTCCAGTTCCTGCCACGCTTTCGCCGCCTCCTCAGTCAGCTTTCTCTGGCGATCTATCCCCAAGGACACGACACACACACACACAGTGCACACACACACACACACAAAGTGCACACACACACACACAGTGCACAAATTGCAGTGAATTCCCGTGGATGACAGTGCGCATGAAATACAGATTGCCAATGCATACACGGCGATGATACAGAACCACGGGGCATATGGGCTGCGGTAGTTCTGACAAGAAGGGGTCTGCACGTGCGCGCGATGAGCACTTTGTACGTGTGATTGCACCCACGCAAGCGTTACGTTCACCTTTACATTTCAATACCTGTGTGCGCTTGGTTGAGGGCATTGACTTCATTCTCGTGCTCCTCTTGCATGGACTGGATGTCCTGTACGCGTTTTGTTTCCGCTGCATCTCGTGCCTGCAAAACACGCACACGCACACGCACACGCACACGCACACGCACACGCACACGCACACGCACAAGCACACGCACACGCACACGCAAGCAGGCAAGTTGAAGGCCACAGAGCAAAGAGTCGGGTGGCGTGCGACAGCTGTCGCAAATAGACACGCTCGACTTGACAGAGCACCAACACGACGTACTAGCATGCCCGTGCCGACCTTGCATCCACGCAAACACACATGCTCGCACCGTTGTTGCATCGGTGAGTTGTCGTGTCAGCAGTGCAACTTGTTCATCGCGCTGAAACAGCTGCTCTTCGAGCGACTTTGCCTGCTGTTTTGCCTGGTGGAGATCATGCTTGTATGTGTTCACTTCCTGCATGTCCTCTCGCATCTCATTCAACAGGTGCTCCTAAACATCAACACGCGCACATGTACACACAAATACATACGCAAGTTCGATGTTGGTGAGCGCACGCAGATGACGCCGGTGACAAGTGTTCAGCACCACGCAAGGTGAAAACAAGCATGTCCGCAGACTGTGTGGCCGAGATGGCACAACGCGCTGATCTTGAGAGACACGAAATGCCGACGTGACAGCGTGACAGCCAGGGAAGTGGTAAAACCAGCAGTACATCGCACCTTTGCTTGCAGTTTCGTTGACATCTTTGTCGCCTGTTTTCTTGCATCCGACAGCCTGCAATCAGCACGCGGATACACCAAGGTGAGGAGGCAGCTCGTGTGCGTGCGTGCGTGTGTGTGTGTGTGTGTGTGTGTGTGTGTGTGTGTGTGTGTGTGTGTGTGTGTGTGTGTGTGTGTGTGTGATGACGAACTCGGCCTTGAGACGATTCACTTCGGTCTCCAAAAAAGTGATTGTTTCCCTCAGCGAAGCAGCAGCGCCATCCGCTTCCTGTTGAGACACAAACACGTAAACGTACAAACACACACATCGTCATCATCATCATCATCATCATCATCATCATCATCATCATCATCATCATCATCATCATCCACGACCCAAGCGAGGAAACAAGCAAACCGCCGAATCCAGAAGACAATTGTGAGCACATTGCCACATGTCATGTCTCCGTACACGCGCACACGTACACACACACACGCACACACACACATATCCACACACATCCACACGTACACAGTGCACGCACACACCGCGAATCCACACCTCAAGCTTCTGGGTGTACTCCTCGATGGTTTTGTGCCGATCTGCGGTTGCCTGTGCGCGAGCAGCGTCCATCCTCTTCTCGTACTCGCTCTGCAGTCGAACCTCCGTGTCCTGTGCACGCGAGTCAGCAAGGCAGCGCAGCCGACACATGGTGTCAAGGATGCTTCCCTGCTGCTGGTATGCAGTGACCACGCATACACACATGTACAGAGAGACAGAGACAGACACACACACACGCACACGCACGCACACGCACACACACACACACACACAACACACACACACACACACACACACACACAAACACACACAAAGCGGCGCAGGGTACCTTGACAAGTTTGTCTGTTTGGTTTGCGTGGTGAACGGCTGCATCACGTTCCTTGTATGCGCGCACCGTCTTTGCGTTCAAATCATCAAACGCAGCCCGACATCCCTGCAAAACACACGCGAACCAAGATGCATATGTGTGAGTGTGTGCATGTGTGTGTGTGTGAAATTGTGGTTGTGGCTGAGGTGGTGACAACCCACGCACGCGCACGCATATGCACTGCGCATACACACGCAAATGCACACATGTTCGCACCTTAAGTAGAGAGGCAATGAAGGCCAGGGTGGCGTGCGTTGCGCGGGTGCTGACTGGTGGTAGTGATGCAAGACGCGAGCGAAAGATCCGCAGCGTTTCGGGCGGCAACACGCTCTGGTGAAGGTGCACAGACGTGTTGACGCGTGAGCGCAAACGGATGTCAAACCACACACACACGCACACATACACACACAATCCATGACAACACGGCTGCATGCACGTGAAGCGAGCGGCGTGTGCGTACCTCAATGTCGAGTGTAAGCGCGTCATTCAGGAGATTGTGCACAGCATCTTCCATAATCGTCACAGCGAGAGGTGGCGCTGAGGTTCATTGGTTTGTTTGTTGCGTGTTGTTGGCGGTGGTGTGTTGAGGAAGCAGTGAGCTGTCATGTTGAGAGAAACCGGCAAACACCAGTGCTGGGAACACGTTACAGCTGCACTAACAACAGACCATCCACCGAATCATTGAAAGCAACGATGATCACACTATCACCCCACCACACACCTGATGCTGCCTGGTCCATCACGTCGACCTCCTCTCCCGTCTCTGCATCGAACTCGCGCGCATGTGTCTGCACTCCAACGTGTTTCGCATTCCCTGATGATGATGACGAGGACGTTTCGTTTGCGTCAAGCGCTCGCGCCCGGTGCTCGGCTGCCAACGAAATCTGCAGCAATTGTGTGTGTGCGTGCGTGTGTGCGTGCGTGCGTGTATGGGTGCAGCATGCGCATTAAGTCGAGCTTGCTTGCTGCAGCTGCTTGTCAAGAAGGACACAGGGAGTGGCAAACATGCTGTACTTTGTCGAAGAGCGATTCCCACGTCTGTTTGTGTTTGGCGTTTGCTTCCGCCGACGACGCAGGTGCACCTGCAAGAAACATGACGGTGAAACAAAACACCATCCCCCCCGGCCGCCATGAGACAACGGACATGGGTGCACGGCGTGGGCATTCGTGCGCACACGTGCATGTCACACACGAACGTGCCGTGCTGCGACGTAATATAGGGCGCCGGTTCGGCTGCTTTCGCAGGCACACATGTGTGTGTGTGTGTGTGTGTGTGTGTGTGTGAGTGTGTGTGTGTGTGTGAGTGTGTGTGTGTGTGTGTGTGTGTGTGTGTGTGTGTGTGTACCTGTTGCCGGGTTGGTGTTTGCCAAGATGTGCTGCATCATCTTCACTTCTTCTTGCTTTGATTCCCGCGCCAGGGCCAGCTCACCCGCTTGCACCTGCAGCTCCGACTAAATATGTTGTGTTTATGTGCGTTGTGTGTGTGTGTGTGTGTGTGTGTGTGTGTACCATGGATACCAGGAGCACCTTCCAGCGTCATAGAGCGAGGAAGATAGACGACCCATGGCGGTGTTAGCGACAATTCAAGTGCATCTCTCACCTGCGTTGCGAGCAGCTTTGTCACAAACTCTGTCAAGGCAAGACAGAACTGCCGCAGCTCCCAGAGAGCGCTGTTTGTCAGCTTCAAGCCACTCCGGGGTACAGTGCACGCTGGAGGCGACACCAGTGAACCATGCTGTTCCACGGCACCTTGAATCCTGTCAATAATGTGCCACACGCGGAGTGCAAAGCAATTGAGGCAGAGGACAAAACCGTCCCAGATTGTAGATGTTTTGTCGCAGCTAGCCGTACATGCATCATAAGCCATCACCATGTTCTTCCCCCCCCCCACACACACACACACACGTTCGTGGGTATCACACCGTTGTTTGCAGTCGGTCAGCGTGAAGTAGGCAAAGGTGTGGAGGCGATCCAAGAGCAGTTGCAGGCACGTGCTGCGAGCGATGGCTGTGCGTCACGCAACACCGAATCGACCAAGATCAATATGGAGCATGTAGCAACCACACGTAAACACGCACCAGACACGCAGATCTGCTCGACACAAGCACACACCAAACACGCATCAAGCACACAACACACACACACACGCAACACACACAACAAACACACACAGCCCTCTTCTTTTCCTCTTGACGCGCTTCGACTCTTGCACTCCCACTTGCTGATCCCGCTGTTTGTGCTTTTGTGCGCGCACCCAGGGCCTACCTTGGTGTTGTGGACTGGCAAAGGGGTGGCTGACTTGGGCGATGATGTGTTCGGGCTTGAGATCGGAAGCAGCAGTGGACGGCAGCATCAGGCTGCGAACAGGCGCGGGCCCAAGCGCAGCCACCATTGCGTCAATGCTCTGCTGCAGCTGACCAATCACACCCGCCAGCAACGCCACGTCCCCCTGTCCGTCATCACCACCAGCATCACCAGCATCACCAGCGACAGCGTTCCTGCCACGGCTGGTCGCTGCAGCAGCAGCACTGCTGCTGCTGCTGCTTTGCTCTTGGTTGTCCTTGTTGCCGTTTCTTGTTGCCATCCTCGATGTCCTGTTTGTAGGTCGCCTTGGATTGTGTTTGGCCTTTAAATGGTCCATTTCCACTTTCCAGAACAACAAGAAGAAGCCACGCCCCAGCCACCTCTCGCCCCTTCTCGCCACCACCACCACCATCAACCATGGCTGATAAGCCCGTCGTCGTCGTGTTCACGGCCAACTCAAACACAGGCAAGTTGACACATGAATGGAAGTTGCGTCGTGTCCTTGTTGTGTTGTGTTGCGGTGCTCTCACTGTACAGCTTCTTGCATTGCATTGCATTTGCTTGCATTGCTTGTTGGCTTGCGGGAGTGCCTGCCTGCAAGCAAGCAAATGTAGACTGCAGCACATTGGCGCCTTGGTGCTTGTTTTGCTCGTCGCCCCTGTCTCACTGAGCTCGAGCTGTGTTGGTTGTACAGGCACCGCTGTTGTGCGGGAACTGGCAGCCAACTATGCGGATGATGTTCGCATTCGCTGCGTGGTCCGCAAGAAGGCAAACGCCAAGCACCTGCAGGGCCTTCCTATCGAGGTGCCAAGCCTCTCAACGTCTTTGTGTATCTGTGTGTGTGTGTGTGTGTTTGGGGGTAGGGGTTGTTGTTATTGTTGTTGGTATTGTTGTTGTTATTGTTGTTATTGTTGTGTCCGTGTGTCTGTGTGCGTGACTGTGTCTGCGTCTATGTCTGTCTGTGTCTGTATCTTGTGCTTTCAACTGTTTTGTTTTGTTTTGATGCTGTGCTTGCAACTACTTGTTTTGTGTTCACTGGGCATAATTGTTCCTTGCACATGCAGGTCATCAACGCAGACATCACGCAGCCTGCGCTTCTGAAGGCGGTGTTTGCGGATGACGTGAACGTGTGCTTCTGGAGCACCCCAACAACACAAGGTGGCGTCTTGATTGCCATGGCCGCTGCCTTGTCTCTTCCTACACTGTTCGCGTGTGCCTGTGGGCGCCTGTGTGCATTGCTCTACCACCTTCACTGCTGTTTTGTGCTGCACTCTTCGTTCCTTTTACCCCGCTGGTGTGGTGAGCTTCTGACTGTCTTCACTGCTCTAACTGGTCACTGCTTTGCCTTCGTGTGGTTTCAGACCGTGCGGACTTGACGAAGCGGTTCGTTGACGCGTGCATCGAGTACGGCGTGGACTTCCCCGTCATCGTGTCCATGCTGGATGCAGGTGGGTGACAACCCGGCGCCGTGCGTCAGTGCGTGTGTGCGGAGGGGAGAGGGGTCTCATCCTGGCCCAACTTACACGCAGCATTGAAAGATGATGAAAGCACAGCCTGTGGATTTGATGCCTGGATTGTGGCTCATCCCACACATGTGCACACCCTCTCACGTGACCGCACAGACAAGCGGGGCACGCTTCACCAGCAGCACTTTGCCGAGATTGAGGCCTACTGCGAGGTGTGTCGTCTGGAGGAGCCACTTTTTTTTTTTTGCATGCATGCAGGCATCAGTGGTGGTGATAGAGAGCTATGGTCACACACACACACACACTCACGCACACACACACACTCACTCACTCACTCACACACACACACACACACTCACTCACACACTCACTCACACACACACACACACTCACTCACTCACACACTCACACACACACACACACTCACTCACTCACTCACTCACTCACACACTCACTCACACACACACACTCACTCACTCACTCACACATACACGCACTTTTCCTGTGGCAGAAAATGCGTGGCACCCCCGTGAAGCGCCAGCTGCTTGACACCGGCAAGCAGACCCTTGCCCCGATCATCCTCCGCTGTGCGCCCTTCTACCAAGTACGCACCATCGTGTCGTACACAGTGTGTGCGTGCGTGCGTGCTTTCGTGTGCGCATGCATGTGTAATGTGCGTGCGTGCTTTCGTGTGCGCATGCATGTGTAATGTGTTCAACATGCTTTGTCAAATTGCACGTTCCTCGTTTGAACGTATCGTCTTACATTTCGCACACATTGCCCTGCAGAACATGCTTGCCAGCCTGGCGGGCATTGCTGAGGGCCAGCTGTACTACCCGCTTGGCAAGAACGAGGGTTACCTGCCACACGTTGACCTCAAGGATGTTGGCAAGGTGCATGGCATGCTTGCTCTCTTGATCTGCTGCTGCCACTGTAGCTGTTGCTAGAATGCCGCTGCCGTATTTGAACGTTGTAAGTCTTTGACGCAACACTAATGTGATGTGACATTACACACGATTGTTGCATGCATGCATGCACGCACACACTGTTCGTGGCTGACAGATTGGGGCCAAGATCCTGGTCGACCCCACCCCACACGGCAACAAGACATACAACCTCATTGGCGAATACCAGCAAGGCAACCAACTGGTGCGTCACGCAGCTCTTCGCTGTGATGACACCTGATGCCTCCAACCAGCCTGTTGTCCAGATCCTTTGTGTGACTTGGCAGGCGCGCCCTGCACACGCCTTTGACACATGTACAAGTTCAGACCAAACACGACACCATGGCCTCGTTCTCACGACTCTGCTCCATCATGTATGCGTGTCATGTTGTTTGCCTGCAGGCATCGTCCATCACCCGCAGCACGGGGCATCCATGCACGTACGAGGAAGTCGACGATCCCACAGCGGCCATGGCCTTTGCGGTGAGTAAGCATGTGCCAGCACAGTACGTTGTTATCACACGAAACACATTTACACCAAGGCGTCGAGCTACGTAGTGAAGAGAATATGAGCAGCCTATGTTCTTCGTTGTGTTTTGCTGGCCCAACCGAGCCCAACTCACCCACTGCCATGCGATGATTGATTTGTGCCTCGTCTACAATGCTTGCAGGCCCTTGGACTGCCGGAGTGGCTGGCTGACGCCAACACGGAGCTCATTGCATACTTCCGCGAGGACAAGTAAGCCGCAACACGCATGAAGGCATGATGAGCAGGCAGCCAAATTGGCATTGTGTGGAATAAGTGGTCGTATGGCTTAGGGTGTGTGTATTTGAAAGCCTGAAAGCACCAACTTCATGTTGTGTCCCCAACTATGCTCACGCCAGTTTAATCGCTCTCCTCTGTTCTTTTGCTTTGCCCTTCACCATTGTCATCACTTCATCACTTGACCCACTCCCCTCCCTTGCCGCAGTGGCCAAGATATCAAGTCGGATGTGGAGGAGGTGCTTGGCACGCCGCCCACCAAGTTTGCCGCATTCTGCAAGCGCGAGATGAAGCCGTTCCTTGACGAGCTCTGAGGAAGGGGATGGCTGGTGTCTTGGAGAGCGTCGTGCTGCCATGTTCCATCGTCCCCCTTGACTGGGGTTCTGGGGTTGCGGAGGAGCCTCCATCATCTTCTGTCCAGGGAGCCAGGGATTACACATTTGCTTGTGCTTTGTGCTTGTGCTTTGTGCTTGTGCTCTGTGCTGTGTCGTCTTCCTTTTGTCCCGCTCTCTTCTGTGCCCTGTCTTGTCGGTGTTGTCTTCTTGTGCCAGCTGTTTCCTCGTTCAGTTCTGTGGTGTTGAGGTTTTGGGGGTTTGGATTGGCTGCTACCCTTCGATTCTTCTCTTCTCTCGTTGCTTTCGTTTACCATGGTTGTTTGCGGCATGTCATAAGTCACGTCTCACATCCTCACATCACATCACGTTCCAGCTCTCAGAGCTCTCCGTGGTTGTTGCATTGTCTGTCCTTCTCTCTCTCTCTTTGACTCTGAGTTGTCGTGTCGTGTCATCATGCCTCGGGAAGTGGCTTTGCTTCGTTTGCTTGTCTGCCGTCTTCCATGTCTTATCTTCTCCCGCATCACAGCATGAATGAAAGTGAAGGAGAGGGAGGGATGCAGGGATACACTGCAGAGGCAGGGGATGGATGGAAGGAGGGAGGGAAGGATCTAAGGATGGCAGGCAGATGGAAAGCTGGAAAGGATGGACTGATGGAACTATGGAAGAAGCGGCTATGGATGCAAGGCAAGCACAAGCACGCCCTTGACTGCCGTTTCATGAACTGCATGGGCAATTTTCCACAACCACGAGACAAAAGTTGTGCGTGATGATGGCGAGCAGAGCACTGTGGCGGTCGCTGCGTTGCACTGGCAGCGGCAGCAGGGCAGCCGTGCTTGCACGAACGGGGCGCTCTCTCCGGTTCAACACCACTACGACCACCACCACATCTGCGACTTCATCATCAGACACAACGGCGGTGCCGCCACCCCCGCCAGCAACAGAGAGCGAGCAGCAGAACGAAGGTGCGGCAAGCCAAGCCAATCCACCAGCGTCCACCAACACCACAGGATTTGTTGTTCCCAATGATGTCCCCCCTGTCAGGTAAGCTCACACGTGGGTTGTGGGTTGTGGGTTGTGGGTTGTGGGTTGTGGGTTGTGAGCTTGTGAGCTTGTGAGCTTGTGAGCTTGTGTGTGTGTGTGTGTGTGTGTGTGTGTGTGTGTGTGGTGTGTGGTGTGTGTGTGTGTGTGTGAGCTTGTGGGTGCGTGTGTGTGTGTGGGTGTGTGCGTGTGTGTATGTGTGTGTGTGTGTGTGGTGCGCAATTCGAGTGAGGTGTGTGAGCGCACCCAACCTGCTCTCTGTCCTCCCCCATGGTTCACTCGCTCACGCCCGGGTGCAAACGGCTGAAAACGGCGGCGCAGGTTTGTTCAGCGGTATTCTGTTGAGCCCATCAACCACATGCTTGCCATTCGCACAGCAAGGGCGTACTCCATCTCCAACGAGACGCTGCGTGCACACATCAAAGTATCTATGCACGATAAGACGGTAAGCATAGAATCGCACGTTGCGTGCAAGAGTTCAGTGCACCTGTCTCTGCCGTGGTGGCATCGCTCGGTTTCCCCCATGTGAAAGCGCGGTGCTCTGTGCGTCGTGTCCTCACACGCTTTCCCTGTGGCATTGGTTCCGTCACACTAGAAAAAGAAGGGCCGCCCCAGAGACCCTATCCGTGGCATGGTGATCCTTCCCCACCTCTTCAAACCCGCGCAGAAAGTCATCGTCTTTGCCCGCGTCAGTCATCCTGCGTGTGTGTGTGTGTGTGTGTCTGTGTGTGTGTGTGTGTCTGTGTGTGTGTGTGTGTGTGTGTGTGTGTGTGCCTGTCTGTCTCTGTGTGTCGATGTGTGTGAACGTCCCTTCCATGTTTCTTCTGTGTAGTGTGCTCTGTATGCACTGCGTGTGCATTCGTGGACGCAACTGCAGTCCAGTTCCATGTGCACACACGTGTGCCTCTTGCATTCAGCATCCCCTCTCATGCGATTCAATGCCATCTCCATGCATGCTGGTATGCACAGGGCAAGGACATTGACGATGCGCTGGAGGCCGGCGCCACAGCCGCTGGTCTCACGGACCTGATGGAGCAAGTTGTTGACGGCGACATTGACTTTGACGTCGCGCTCGCCACAGCCGATGTGATGCGTGATATCCGCGCTGCCGGCCGCTCGCTTCGACAGCGCATGCCCTCAGCCAAGAACGGTGAGATGCAAGCTGTGCTGTGCATTCAATGAAGTGCACTCACGCCATGCCCGCTTGGGCTGATTGTCGTCAGTACGAGCGAAACATGACCCAAATTCAAACACACAACAAACAAACAAACAAACAAACAAACAAACAAACAAACAAACAAACAAACAAACAAACAAACAAACAAACAAACAAACACACTCACTCACTCACACTCACTTACTCACATGCACACATTCACACGTGCACTCTCTCACTCGTACTGTTAACTCTGAATGATGCTCACCCGTGTCCATACGCTGGTACTCGTCCATCTCTGCAGGGACGATTGTGGAGAACGTGAAGGAGGCGGTGCTGCGGTTCTCGCGTGGCATGCTGTATCGCACAGACGCACACGGCAACGTCAACATTGGCTTCGGCAAGGTGGAAATGACAGGAGGAGGGAGAGAGGAGTAAGACAGGAGGGGAACCATGAACGGAGCTGTGAGAGAAAGCCCTGCACATGGCTTGACGGCACATCGTGGCGCTGTACGCGAGTGTCGTGTGCATCATGCCACCAAACAATTCACGTGTTGTGGCACCCGCTTCTGTCTGCTCTTGGTTTCAGGCTGACCAGTCCATGGATGTCCTGCAAGAAAACCTCCTTGCCCTCACAGAGAATGTCCTTGAACACAACCTGGGAGCACGCGGTAAGCACTTGCGTGTGTGCATGCACCCAGTGTTGTCTGCGCATGTGCTTGCACACGTGGTCGTGTCTGCCAATGCATGTGCCTTTCCCCGTTTCGCCCCTGCGCATGCGTGCATGTGTGCGTTCCATTGCCTCTGCTGCACCTTGTGGTTGCTCATCACACCAACACCATTGCCATCGCCATCGCCATCACTGCAGACAAGTTCATTGAGCAGATGTACATTTCGTCGGACCATGCCCGCTCTGGCGGCCTTGAGATTCGCCGCAGCGACCTCCTCTCCGCCCTCGCCGCTTCAAAGAACGCATAGTGTGCCTGTCTGTGTGCGTCTCTCTCTCTGTGTGTGTGTGTGTGTGTGTCTGTCTGTGCTGTGTGTGTGTCTGTGTGTCTGTGCTGTGTGTCTGTGTCTGTGTGTCTGTGTCTGTGTGTGTCTGTGTGTCTGTGTGTCTGTGTGTCTCTCTCCATATCCTCTGTCGCCCTTGTGGACGATTGGTGCAAGATGTTCATAAAACCGACTGCGCTTCGCAACACAGCCAACAACAACAAACGAACCACCAAGAAGCCCTTGCTTGCCCTGCCTCGCCTGCAGTTTGTCATCGTGGTGCGTGTGGTGTGAGGTGTGATGACGGCTGTTCAGAGTGGGAAGCACGCTCGCTCGCGCGGCGTGTCAAGTGCAGCGGAGGAGGAGCTGACACCACTGGAGCTCGCGCAGCAACGGATTGCACAGGTGACCCAGCAGGGCCACTGTTTTTCTTTTCCCCACAACCCTGCCAACGACTCTTGTTCTGCTTGTGGTTCTGCTTCTGCTGGTGCTGCCTCGCTTGCGGTGCGCTCACCACGTTGCTGTTGCTGATATGCTTTGTTTGATGGCTGTTGGTGGTGACACCAGTTGCCTCAGTCCACCCAGTTCCTTGATCTCTCCGAGATGGGCCTGCCAGCGTTTCCAGAGGAAGTGTTCAGGCTGACGCACTTGCGTGCGCTGTATCTCAACGACAACGATCTCGAAACCCTACCAGACCATCTCTTCCACGGCCTTCCAGATCTCACGTAGGCTCTCCATGCATGTGTGCGTGTCTGTGTGTTGTGGCTCTTTGTGTTGTGCTTGCGATGGATTTAGCTGATCCTCCATGCTAATCTGCTCACGCTTTCTACCATCCACACACAACCACAACCACAACCACGCATGTGAAGATACCTTGACCTGAGGAATAATAGAATCGTGGCCTTGCCAAAGGGCACGAGGTTGGTTGCCGTGAAACATGCATTGCATGTCATCACTGGAAGTGCTACTCCACCACACTTGCACACTCTGCGCCATCTTACCCTTCGCTTCTTCCGTGCCCACGCTCACGCTCGATCGTCACGCTCCGTCGTCACGCCCTCACCTATAACCACCACACCACCACTTCCACCGCCACCCCCACCTAAAGAGAAGCCCAGCGGCTGCGCACACTGCTGCTCGGCAACAATCGCATCACGGCATTGCCCACAGAATTGGGTGATATCCAAACGCTGTGTGGTCTCAACATTGCCGGCAATCCACTCTTCTTTCCCCCCGACGACATCACACACCAAGGTAGCACTTTCGCTTGTGTGTGTATGTGTGTGTGTGTGTGTGTGTGTGTGTGTGTGTGTGTGTGTGTGTGCGTGTGTGCATGTATGTATGGGGGGGGGGGTTCGTTGCACACGTGCTGATGTCGTCAACTGTGTGGACGTGACTGCGGATGTATGCACTTCCAGGTGTTCATGCCATCAAAGCGTTCCTGCGTGCTAGAACAGCCTCGCTCATCGCAGATCCGGGTATGCGCGTGCGTGTCTGTCTGTCTGCCTGGCAGTGTGTGTCTGTGTGTGTCTGTGTGTGTCTGTGTGGCTCTGTGTGTGTGTGTGTGTGTGTGTCTGTCCGTCTGTCGGTGACGTGTGAGTGTGTGATGATATATCTTGCTTATGACCACATTTTCATCGCCATGGTGGCGCCACAGCTTTCATGACCAACCCTGAGATCGAGCACACATCCCCAGAACCAGAACCACAACCGGTACGTGCATGGATGCGTGGGTCACAATTTGCGTGTCACTTGTTCCTTGTTTTCATGCCAAACACGCAGCATGCGCCCATACACACACACACACACACACACACACACACACACACACACACACACACACACACACACACACACACACACACACAGAGCGACGACGGCGACGTTGCAATGTCGAACCCGTTTGCGTGGCAAGAGGACGAACGCCCGCTACCAACAACAGCAAGCAAGTCAACAGTACACACACAGGAGCACAGCAGCGTTGGGCACGTGCAGCAGCAGCACAGCAGCACAAACGCAAGCGCCACTGGTAGCGATGGTGGGGACGGTGATGTGTTGCTGTGGCGAGCGAGGAGCAGACGAGGATTGGGTGCTGATGGCGACGACACAGAGAGTGTATCGTCAGCGCTGGCCAACAAGATGGTGACCACTGTATTGGACAGGCTGGCCCTTGAAGAAGCAGAGTAACAACGAGCGAAGGAGGGAAGCAAGGGGGAGGGAGAAAGGTTGCGCCTTGTGGCTTGATGTTACATCAATAAGACTCTTGTTGTGTATTGAGAGACCGCTTTCACAAAGTATATTCAAACAAATGCAAGGACTCGCGTGGAAGTAACACGAAAGCATGTAACATGCTGAGACGAACAACGCACGGGTCGACAAGCTAGCGAGGCGAAGAAATCGAATGCAACCAATATCGTGGACGTTGAGAGTTGTTGGTTGGGGAGGTCAAGAGCGAGAACATATCAACCACAACAACCAAAAGTCACACCACGCAACGCACACACGATGTGCCACGTGTCGGTATCAAGCGATGTTTCGTGCGAGCCAGCGGGCGGTGCGGGAGATGGGGCCGGCAAAGTTCTCCACACAGACGTCCTCAACGCGCCACACCCGCGGCTGGCTCGGCAGACGCAGCACCTCCGCCGCCTGACCGTCGCAGTGCCGAGGGGAGGGGGAAGAAGGTGGGGTGTGGTGTGGTGTTGTGAGGTGAGGTGTGGTGGCAGTGGGGGGGGGGGGGGTGTCACAGCCTGATGCCGAGGTACGTGCAAGCAGACACCCCAAGCAAACACATACACTACACACCCAGTAAACACACACACACATACACTACACACACAGCAAACACACACACACACACACATACACTACACACACAGCAAACACACACACACACACACACACACACAGCGCACACAGAGCGCACACAACACACAGCACACAGCAAAGGGCTCACCTGGACGGCAGAGGCCCTGCGCGGGGTTGCACTTGAGGAGCAGTTCCAGACAACAAGCGGTGCACACGTGCGGGTCCATGCCGGGTTCATGAACAGCTGCAGTTCATCACAGCACCGCCGCACATGCGCTGCGCTTGCCGCGTCGCCCAGCCGCGCAGCGTCAACCACCATCACAAACGCGTCCACGTGCTCGCACACCCGCCGCTCGCTCTCACGCAGCTCCCCCCGCCCATTCTGCAGCCGCCTGTCGGGTGTGTGTGTGTGTGTGAGCGTGTGAGTGTGTGTGTGTGTGTGTGTGAGTGAGTGTGTGTGTGTGCGAGTGAGTGTGTGAGTGAGTGAGTGTGTGTGTGTGTGTGCGAGTGAGTGTGTGAGTGAGTGAGTGTATGTGTGTGTGTGTGTGTGAGTGAATGTGTGAGTGTGTGTGTGTGTGAGTGTGTGTGTGCGAGTGTGTGTGTGTGGGTGTGTGTGCAGTGGTGGATTTGAAGCACGGTGGCGGCGCAAACCACGACTGACTTCCCAACTAACCAATCCACAACCTACCCACGTTCATCCCCACCCCCAACGCACACACACACACACACCACACACACACACACACACACACACACACACACACACACACACACACACACACACACACACACACACACACACACACACACACACACACAGACGCATGCAATGAATCCCTCCAAGCTCCCTTATTCTCACCACAACCTACCCACGTTCATCCACACCTCCTCCTCCTCCTCCTCCCAGCAGCTCACCCCGTGTCCTCGTCTGATTGGCGCGCGCGCTCCGCAGCCGTCTTCTGGTACAGCGTGATCATGTCAAACGCCGTGTGCGCATCCACCCTGAGCGACACGCCCCCGCCCACACCTGCAGCAGCAGCCAGCACATGCATCGCACAAGACGCAAAAGGGCTCTCCGTCAGCAACACGCGGCAAGCACGAATCGTCGCAAACACGTCATGCTCACACACGCAGTCACACAATACCTACATGGTCAAACAAAGCACCAATGACTGCACTTTCACACACACACACACACACACACACACACACACACACACACACACACACACACACACACACACACACACACACACACACACACACACACACACACACACACACACACACACACACATAAAGCACACTTCCCCCCTCGCCTCGCAGCCAACGCACCATCTGTGCCTGGGGACATGCCGAGGACCTGGAAGGGGCTGTCTGCGCCCCAGAGAATCTCGGTGACCAGGCCGTGTGCAATGTGCTCGAGGCCCGCGCCAAAGACGGCGACGCGGAAGCGGCGGTGGCGGGCAAACAGGTGGCGCACCACGGGCGGCGGGGACGACGCAGGCAGCAGCGATAGCTCGGCGCGGTGCTCGCCCATCAGCGGGGAGCAGCGGCGATACGTCGCCTTTGGGTCCTTGAACAGCGCGTGGTGGTTTGGAAACGTGGCCGACGTCACAGTGGGCCACAGCGGCATCTCCTGCATCAGCACGTGCCGCCACTGTCGATGTGTTGATGTGTTGGTGTGGGTGGACAAGGAGTTTGGATGAGGATGGAGAGAGCGAAGGAGAGAGGAGCAAGGGCTGGGGGACAATGCGTGCATGGGCGTGCTTGCTGGAACTGTGCGTGATGGGCAAATGCAAACGCGCAAGTGCAAACAAACAACCGCACACATAGACACGCACATGCACACAAACAAAAGTATCCGCATACAACACGCACATGCACTCACACACACAAACACACGCATGCATGCACACACACAAACACACACATACACACGCAACACACGTGCACAAACGTACCAGGATGGGGTCGTTGGTAATGTCATACCAGTTGCGGTTGACGGCTGCGAGGCGAAACAGGTCCTCTGGCGGAAGGAAGCTGAGGATGAGGATGCGCAGCTCGCGCGGCAGCGTGTCGAAGGTAAAGTCGTCAGAGCGCCAGGCATTGAACCCGCTCGGGTCCGCAATGTGCGCAGCAAACCCGCCAGAGGCCGTGAGTTGCATGCGCATGAACGATCGGCGCGGTACAAGGGCGACTGCTGCAGCCACGTGCCGAGTCAGTGCATGTGTGTGTGTGTGTGTGTGTGTGTGTGTGTGTGTGTGTGTGTGTGTGTGTGTGTGTGTGTGTGTGTGATGCAATGCTGCACTGTAAGGCCGCTACAGCGTGTTGTAGTGGTGCGCCTTGATGGATTGATGGATGGAGTTTGCCAGTCCAGCGGTTTTGCAGCTTGAGCGCAATCGATGCAAGCGGGAATGGTAGAATGGCGCGCGCGTGTGTGTGTGCGTGTGTGCGTGCGTGTGTTTGTGTCACATTTCACATTTCACACCACACAACACAGCAGCAGCAGCAGTGGCGTCCACGTTGCATGATTGGCTGTGTTGTTGTTGTTGTTTGTGCCATGCTGGCAGAGACGGCAAGGACTCGCAGTGCAGCGTTGGCACTTTTCTTCTGTTCTCTTGTTGCTTTGTTGCCAAAGGAAAAAAAAAGGTAAAGTAGTGCCGTCACCCAGGGTTTCTGTGCCTTCTGTGATGCGAAGGCCTGAACGACTGCTATCGAACTGGGGACCTTTAGATCTTCAGTCTAACGCGCTCCCAACTGCGCCATAACGGCGAACTACGATTTGCTGAAGGCGGATGGTGGAATTTGCATATATCAAAAATTAGGCAACTTTTTTTTTGTGTGTTGAGAGAGTGCCCTCCACTCGCACTTTTCACTCCCCATTTCCCTCGCTAAGTCGCTTGCTCGTCGCCTGCTTTGCTGTTTGCAATGGGTCTTGTTGCTTCTGTTCCTCATACATCCAAAGGCCTATCGATTCTAATGAACTCAACTAACACAGCACTGTAACATAACAAAAGTGTCACTTAAACGCAAAGCAAGTGTCGCGCGTCCCTGCCCACAGGCACACAGACACACCCATCTACCCTTGGCTTTCCATCCTCCATTCCATCCGCGCGCTTGACAACAATGTCACCGCCTCTTATCGCTCTGCTGCTCTGTGAGTTGATGTTTCAACGACCGGATCACTTTGTCTGCCTTTGCCAGGCGCTGCGTCAACGTATCAATCCTTGTTATGTGTTCAGCAAATAGAAAGAGAAGGGGCGTTCAGAAACCACAGAATCATGTGAGCCAGCGAACACAAATAATTCACACACACACACACACACATTCCAAGCATTGTACCTTTTCCGGGTGTACGGGTGAGCAGAGATGGTGCCCTCCTGCAAGAAGAACCATCGAATCACACGTCATACACATTGCAGCAATCCGTGAGTGTGCGGCACACACACACACACATTCACGCACATACGCACACACACCCACAAACTCGCACACACACACACACATCGATACAACCACATGCTTACCTTGATTTGTGAGAGCTCTGCTTCAAGCGCTGCCTTGTCGGCAACCAAGCTGCTGACATCCTCAAGCGCCTTTTCCAAGTTGGCTTCCGCTTGCTCCTTCTCAGACTGAAGCGTCGCCACCAGCGAGGTCTGCTGTGCCAGTTGCTCTCGGAGCTGCGTGGATACCTTGGACGTCTCCACAATCTTCGTCTGCAGCCTGCCCTTGTCACTGGCAAGCTGCCTCAACTCGGCATCGCGTTGTTGCACAAGCAGCTGCGCATCTGCAATGCGCGCCTCCAGGCGTTCGGCCTGGGCAGCATGCGCCTGTTTGAGCTGTTGCAGCTCTTCACACGCCGCATCGCCGCGCTTCTTCTCTTCCACAAATTCGTCCGCCGCTGCCCTCTGTGCCTCTTCTTTCTCCCGCTCAAGCTCAGCTCTGATCGCATCCACTCGCGCCTTCATCTCATCCTTGGCAGCTGCAGCCGCCTGTTCAGCATCTTGTGCCTGCCGCTTGGCCTCTTGCAGTTGCAGCTGCTCCTGCTGCAGGGCCGCACGCACTCCCGCCACCTCCTTCTCTTTCTCCTCAAGCGCGTCTGCTGCCTTGGCGGCCGTGGCCTGAGCCTGCTCCAGCTGTGTGCGCGCGCGCCTCAGCTCTGCGCCAACACGTGTAACGCGAGTACTGTGCTGCTGCAGGCGGTCCATAACACGCGCACGTGCCGCCGCAATCAGCGAACGCAGCGTCTCCGCGCACGCGCACGACGACTGAGATGCGCTGTCTTCAGCCATCTGTAACAACCGAGACAGGGCGTCACCATCGGACTTGTTCCCCAGAGCAGCTGATGCGGCTCGCGCCTCGTCCGCCTTCCGACGGCCAACGGGTCCGTTGCTGTGATCACCCCCATCCTCATCGCCGACAGCGCTGGCCTTCGTCTCATCACGTGCTTCACGGCTGCTGAAGTCGTTGTTGCTGTCGCTGCTGCCGTGGGTGTCGCTGCCCTGCTCCTCCCTGCTCTGTGGTGCCGTGTCGCCATCAGCATCGCCTGCATTCACTTCCTGAAGCAGTTCCTTGAGCTGCTGCACCGCAAGCGACAGCTCTTCCTTTGCCTGTGTCTCTGCGTCTTCCAGGCCCTGCGCCACAACTCTCACACGGGCAGCCTCCTCCTCTGCTGCCACCACTCGGCCTTGTTCTGTTTGCACCGCCGTCTCAAGAGCTGCAATGCGTTGCTTGTGACCATCCACTGCCGCTTGCAGCTCGCGGTTTCTGTGCTCTGCAGCCGACAGCGCTGCCTGAAGGTCTTGGTGTTGTGTGCTGCTGGCTGCCGCCTGTGTCTCACGCTCCTGTTCCAGCGCCTCCAACTTCGCCTGCAGCTGTGCACACTCTTCCTGCCACTCCTGCTTGGCACTGGCAGCGGCAGCATCTGCCTCGCGCTGTGCATGTGCAATCTTTGCGTCACAGTCTCTTTGGACAGCTGCAAGGGATGCCTTGTGCTCCTGGCGAGCGCGCGCAAGTGCCTCCTCCACAGCTGCAGCAGCGGCCGACGACTGCTCCTCAGCAACGCAGCGCTGGGCCTCAGAGCGCGCCTGCCGCAGCTGCTGTTGCAGCGCCGCCTTGTCGTTTTCGGCCTGCGCGCACGCGTCCCGCATGCTGGCCAGGTGCGACTTGAGCGCCGCAACCTCTGCAGACAGCTCATCGCGCTGTTGCTCACATGCGAGCAGCTGCTCCCGTGCGCCCTGCAGCTCCTCGCGAAGGCGCTCGTCTGCTCGCGCGTCGATCGTGGGCAGCGTTATTGTCGGCACTGGCGACCCAATGGTCGTCGTTGCCGCACCGTCGTTCACATTGTTGGTGTCATCGTCGGGATTGTGATCGAACACAGAGGTGGTGCTGGCGTGGTTGGCCATGCTGCCGTCCAGTGTGATGTTGTGTCGCTGCGTGGATTCTGCCGCCGTGTGCAAATCAGACAGCAGTTGCTGGTTCTCTGTTTCAAGTTGTCTGTAAGCTGCCTCCTTCTCCTGCAGCTGATTCTGCAACGCCTTGACCTGGGCGGTGAGCTCTGCTTCCTGCTGCGCGGCCCTGTCTTCAAGCTCTTGCACCCTCTGCTGCTCCTCCTCTTGCTGCTGTCGCTGCTGCTGCTGCTGTTGCTGCAGTTCGTGCTGAAGACGGCGCACCTCTGCATTCAGGCCATTCACTTCTGCTCGCCAGTGTTCTTCTTGGGACCGCATCTGCTCCTCTAATGTCGCGTGCGCCGCACATGCAGCCGACAGCTCGTTGCTCAGGGCGCGCACGTCCTCGGCGGACGTGGGTGTGTGTTGGGTGTCGGCGGTATCCATAGTCTGCACTTGGGCGCCCGCCTGAGCTTTGTCGCGCAAGCGCTGGTTCTCTGCTCGCAGCTGTGCCAGCTCTGCAGCTACGTCGCCCTGCTGGCCCAACGCAGCCAGCGCTTGCTGTAAGCCCGCGTTCGTCGCCTGGGTCCAAACACGCGAATGAACACATGCATGTACAAGTGCGTGTGTGTGTGTGTGTGAAATGGGGAGCGTGTGTCAATCGTATTGCGCATCTGCGTATCCCGAACCAGAGAACCCGACACACACACACACACACACACACACACACACACACACACACACACACACACACACACACACACACACACACACACACGCACACACACAGACCACAAGGACGTGCAGTTCGGTAGTAGCCGGTCAGCACACAATCGCACCTCCAACTGGGCGATGCGCTGCTGTTGCTGTTCCAATTCCGCTGTATGACTGCTTGTGCGGAAAGAGCTGGCGTGCTCCTCTCGGGTTGCACCTTCGCCATGCACTCCATCTGACAGCTGCCCTTCCAACGCACGGATGCGGTCCTGCTGCTGCTTGCGCTCGTTTCGCAATCTCTCCAGCTCGTCCTCAAGCTCCTGCCAACGCAGATGAATCAGCAAAGCATGAGGGGTCTGCATGCGTCTGGCTAGTTGACTCATGTCAAGGATGGCGAGAAAACAACAAGCAACCACAATGCTGTTCCCTAAGTCCCAACACATACACACACAGCGAGGCGAGCAACAGCCACGACACCTGTTGTCGAGCCTCTCCAGCGCGGGCTTTGTCAGCGAGTTGCTGCTGCGCATCCTGCAGCTGCTGCTCCAACTGTCGACACATGTCTTGTTGTGCATGCAAGGCGCGAGTGCTTCGCTCGCTTCCCTCCTCCTGTGACCGCAACGCTTGCAGCTGCTCCGAGTACTGGTACGTGAGCTGTGTCTGTGCATCGAGCTTTCGTCGCGCATCGCTCAAATGCCGTTTCAAATCCTCAATCTCCGCCTGCAGTGTGTGCATGTGTGTGTGCATGTGTGTGTGCGTGTGTGTGCATGTGTGTGCATGTGAGGGATCATGGAAGCCACGTTGTTGAGAATATGCTGTGCAATGACAATTGGGGAGGGGGAGTAAAGACGCAGCACATACACGGGCACGCAAGGCAGCGAAGCTACCTTGAGGACATCCTGGGCGTCCAGAAGCTGTTGGCGTTCGTGGTCACTTGCTGCTTCCACAGATTGCAGCTGATGCTGGATCTGGAACGGCGTTGTGGCAATGCAGTGAATCAAAACAGACGTGAATTTGCCCACAGCAGCAAACACACATCGTGGAACAGTTTGTTGTCGTCATGTCCTTGCCCCCAACACACTACTGTGAGCTCCTCACACACACTCGCACGCTCAGGCCGCAGCGACTGCTTCAATGAAGCAAGAGCACATCATGGCGACACAGCATGAGTATGCACACACCTTGTCCAGCTGCCTTGTTGCTGTGCGTGCCTTTGTGTGCGCCTCCCGTTTAGCTGTGACTTCTTCGTCCAACTGTGCCTGCAAATCCTTCAACTCGTCCTCTGCACGACGAAGCTGAACAATCCACCACGCAATGACCGTTGTATGTCGACACGCACGCACACACACGCACACGCACACAGGACATAGTCGTGGGTGTATGAGAAGCATGCGGCTGAGGAAACAACGGCATTGTATCGGTGTTGTGCGCTGTGACAAACGAGGTCAATGAATGACACATTCGCACGCACACACACACACACACACACACAAACTACACAGCACAACAAGCACCAAGGCTCAGACCTGTGCGCGCAGTTGGTCGGATTGGGCGTGTGCCTGCTTGTGCTGCGTTTCCTGGCGTCCAACAAACTCCTCAACACCACGCTTGAGCGAGGGGAAGGCGGCGTTGACGGCGCTGGAGCACGAGGTCACGCGCGAAACCACGTCCTGAATCAGATCAAGAAGCGTGTCCTCAGACGCATTCTGCGCTGCTGTTTGTCGGGCAGTGGATGCGTGCAACTGCTGTGTCACATCAACGTGGTCGAGAGCAGATAGGGTGTGCAGCAGCTGCTTCGGGAGTGTCAGGCTCAGTTGCTCATGCAGACCCTGTGTAGTTGGAAAGCGGACGCAGTTGTGGCTTGTCGTGTCAGCTATGCACTTGGCGGTGAAGAACCACATGCGAGCAATAACAACACCCGAAGACACAACGCCACAGTTCCAACAACAACACACTCGAACATTCGCACACGCAAATACACACACACACGCACACACACATACGCACAGACAGACGCACACACACACACACACTCCCGCGCGCACACATGCTTGCATGCAGGCACACCTTAAGTTCGTGGACGGTTTTGGCGACCTTGAACTCAAGCACGTCGCCTTTGCTTGCCAGTGTGCGCAGTTGGTCCAAGCGCTTGTTTGGATTCGATCCCCCATCATCGCGGCAATTCCGATGCTGCTTCGCACCGCCACCACCAGCACCAGCACCGCCACGAGCGTCGTCATTGTCATCCAGCGCAATGTTGAACGCAATTCCGCGTGTTGGCGCGCGTTCCTGCCGCGGGGTGTTGTCAATTGGTGCCTCATGGTCTACACCACTGCCACGTCGGCCAACGCGTGCACTGCTGCGCCGCCGAAACCCGGACTGTGGCCTGTGCCCTGCTGGCGGCTGTGGGCGGTGCGCTGCTGCTCCGGCAGCCACGGGGGATGGTGGGCGCGGTTGTCGGCGCCGTGGTGGCGTGCCGTTTCCTTCGAGGTAGCGCTCGTCTCGATGGCGATGGCGCTCATCGCTGCTGTCGATGTCACTGTGCTCCGTATCTGACACGTCCCGCACACGCGACCGCCGCTGGTGCCGCCGACGACGCCGTTGGCGGTCGTGGTCGTCGTCGTAAGCGTCATAAGCGTCGTGGCCGGGGTTATTGTGGTCGCGGTGTGCATCCACACCGCCGTTGCTCCCGCGTGATGATCGCCGGGACTGCGGTCGGCGTGCGCGTGTGTGATCGTGTGCAATCGGTGGCGGAGACATCCAGCCATCGTCGACACGACGTTCGTCCCCGCTGTCTGCGCGGTGGCGGCGGTGGCGGTGGCGGTGGTGGTGGCGGTGGCTGGATGACGGTGGGTGCACACGTCTGCCATCGCTCGCATTGGCCGGGGCGCCCGGTGACGGCGACCGTGACAGCGGGGATGCTCGTCCTCGGGCATCATCATGGTGTTCACGCGCCCGTGCTGCCCCATGGCGATGCCGTGTGTCGCGTGGGTCGTGCAGCTGGTCCATGCCATGTTGTGGGCCGCCCGTGACGGGAAGAGCAGCAACGGCGGCCTCGCTTGGTTTGAACAGGTCCACACGCGCGCGCGGTGCACGCGTTGGTGGGGATGGCTGGTCGTTTGCTGTTGCAGCGTCATACTCGCTCTGAAGGTTTACGGACAGGAGAACACGTGTGTGTGTGTGTGTGTGTGTGTGTGTGTGTGTGTGTGTGTGTGTGTGTGTGTGTGTGTGTGTGCGGTTGATTGTGAGCATCGAATGCGCACGTGTATGTGTGTGTGTGTATGTGTGTGTGTGTGTGTGTGTGGTGGAAGGTGAATGCATACACGTGAGCACAGTAAGCGGCTCACCCGCAGCTGGCGCACGTCTGGTCTGCGCAGGGCGTCACGGTTTCGATTTCGGTTTCGGTTTGCGTTTGCATTTCGAAATTCAAGACTGTCTTGCAGGTTGGCAATGCTCTGCTCCAACCACGATGATGAGCGTGGATCAACAACATACTGCATCTCCAGCGTTTCGTTGCCCCTGTCACAAACATGGCCAAACGGCACGTCAGGCATATATTCGTGTGTGTGTGTGTGTGTGTGTGTGTGTGTGTGTGTGTGCAGACACTGACATCATCCGCAGTTACGCTGCACCAACCCTCTTCTCCTAGCGACTAGCCTGACTGCTACCTCTCTGCCTCCCGACAGCATCGTCGTGCACACTGACCTGCCGTGCTTGGCTGGGCTCTGGATGGTTTGCCGGATGGAGACAACAGCTGAGCGCTGCTCATGCGACGGCGAACGGTGGCGGCGGCGGTGGCTAGTTGATCGCGCTGGCCGCTGTAATTGGGTGTGGACAGAGACGTGGTGGGGTCATGTGAGAAGCAGGCTGGAAGGATGGATGGAAGGATGGATGGAAGGATGGGTGGGTGGCTGGGTGGGTGGATGAAAGGAAGGATGGGTGGGTGGATAGAAGGAAGGGAGTAACCGTGTCTCGTTGAGAGAGGGAATGGGCGGCAGTGTGCATTGTATGCCCAAACTGTGATCTGCCCACGCAAACTAACCTTGAGGTGGCTTGCTTCGACATAGGAGCGAGTGCGCTTGTCATACACGAGGTCTTCTTTGTCATGGAGCATTTCAACCCGATGTGTCTGGGGGTGGGGGATGGGAGAGGACAACTGGTGATGGGACAGCACATGAAGAAACATCGAGGCTGCTTGCAGCACGGAGCGAGACGCGATGTCACCAGTACTGGTACTCGAAGAGCATGTGTGCACTGCGCAGACGGCTCACCTTTGGGTCGGTGCCGAAGCGAATCACGTCTTTGTCGCGCAGCTCAACTGGTGCTCGCACCTTGACGTCGTTCACAAAGGTGCCTTTTTGGAAGTGTGAAATACAGAGATGGCAGGGGAAGAGAGGACAATGAGACCAGCGCAGGCGTGTGCATGGTCAGGACGGGAGGGATTGTGTGTGTGTGTGTGTGTGTGTGTGTGTGTGTGTGTGTGTGTGTGTGTGTGTGTGTGTGTGTGTGTGCTGTGTGTGTGTGTGCTGTGCGGTGTGTGCGCGTGCATTTGTGAACGCATCTCCACGCCTGTGTGTGTGTGTGTTGTGTGTGCTGTGCTGCGCGAGTGTACTCTGAGTGTGTGTGTGTGCTGTGCGGTGTGTGCGCGTGCGCCTGTGTACGTGTGTGTGCGCACGTGCGTGTGCCTGTGTGTGCATTTGTAAACGCGTCTCCACGCCTGTGTGCGTGTGTGTGTTGTTTGTTTCTGTGTGCCTGTATTTATGCACACACACATCTGCACAAGCCATGTCTCTGCTTCTCTCACTGAGCGAGCGCGCATCTGTGCAGAGAGTTACAGGCCCCACCAAGAACAACACGAACTCACCGACGCGTGACTTGAGGTCTTTGACGAGGAAGGACCGCTTGTTGGTGTCAAAGTAGATGACAGCATGCCTTGGATCGCATGTTCTGGATCCCAGCCACACATCGCAACCCTCACTGTCTGTTCCAACCATCGTCTCCGCCTTGCACAGCTCATGCAGCCCTGCAATACAGCAAAGTGTGCGCGTCAGTGATCGAATGTACACGCATACACAGACAGAGAGACACACAGGCAGGAAGGCACAGGCAGACAGGCAGGCAGACAGACAGACAGACACACAGACAGACAGGCAGGCAGGCAGGCAGACAGACAGAGAGACAGAGAGACAGAGAGACAGAGAGACAGAGAGACAGACAGACAGACAGACAGACAAACACACAGACAGTCAGACACATACACACACAAACATGTGTGCACCGCAGCAAGCTCGCCGCAGCAAAGAAACATCATGACGTTCTCCCACAGTAACGCACCAGCAACAGTTCGCAGTTGCACGCGAGGCAAGGTTGGAGGAAGTGTCTTGGCATGTTCCAGCTTGGACGATGGTGGTGTTTGCTGTGCTGCAGCTTGCTTGCGCTTCTCACGCCCACCGCCGCGGTCTCGTGGATCATCCTGAACGTGGTCACCCATCACCCATTACGTGACAATTATCTGCTGTTGTGTCTGAAGTCTTGGTGGAGACACGGCAGATGTGGATCGTGTGTGACAGAGGTGTTTGTGTTTGTTTGCTTTGGTTGTTGTGCAGCAGCGGACACACAACAGCAGCAGCGCAGCGAAATTTTCGGCTGGCGCAAACACCACAAACAGTAGTGGCGCACTCGTGCAGCCAGCAGCGACGTTGCGGAGCACCTGCTGCTTGCTTTGGGTTGTTGTGAGACTGCGTCTCTCTTCCTCCCCCCTCCCACCACTCTCCCTCCCTCTCGAACACACACACGCGCACACAGAGTAGAGTAGGATGGACGACGACGATGACATTGGATGGGAGGACCTGCACAAGCCGACATACTTTGTGTATGGCGGGTTGTTCGTGCTTTCGTACGAGACCCTGTTCTACCCTTTGGACTTTCTCAAGACGCGGCAGCAGTATGAACGCACGCCCACGACCATCGCCAGCATCGCCTCGGGGGTGTATCGACGCGAGGGCGTGCGCGGGCTCTTCCGCGGATTCGGCGCTACCCTCGCTGGCAACTTTCCCGGGCAAGTAGTGTACTTTGGGGCATATGAGATGGCCAAGCACGCCTCGTTTACCTTGGCGCGGAAATGGAACGACAACTCCGACAGCAGCACCAGCACCAGCAGCACCAGCAGCACCAGCCCTGCTCGGCCCGCGACGACACCCACAGCGCCATCCGCCGACACAGCCAGCGCTATTCGCAGCAGCAGCAGCAGCAGCAGCAGCAGCAGCATCGGTGGCAGCAGTGCTCGTGATGGTGGTGGCATCCCATCGGCGGCAGCATCGGCGGCAGCACAGGGCCATGGGCCAAGACGGCCTGCAGCCGCATCCTTGCCTGCAAACCCTGATGGTGGACTTGCACTGCCTCAAATGTCGTCAGCAGACAGCACAGTGCACATTACCAGCACGCAACGGTTCATCGGGAACCTCTTTGCTGGGTTTGTTGCCGACCTTGTGTGCCTGCTCGTGTACACGCCTGCGGATATTGTTGCACAGCGTCACATGGTGGCCACAGCAGCCGCCATCCTTCCCTCTCACTCAACAACATCACCATCACCAGCAGCGACAGCAGCAACACCACGAAGATCAGCAACAGCGTTGTCACCAACAGCACCGACAACAACCCCGTTGCAACCCACATCGTCGACATCAGCAGCGGCTTCCACCCTAACGAGACCAGCACCAATCGCGCCGTCTTTGCATGCACAACAACAACAGCAACAACAACAGCGCCATCAAAGGCAGCACCAGCAAGGGCAGCACCGTCTTTGCGGTTCAACAGTCTCGGCGAGAGGCGAGCGGGCGCACGTGCCTGATCTCCCAACCACGCGACAACTTGTGCGTTCTATCGTCAAGCAGGAAGGGTTTCGAGGTATGTTAACATGCACATGTGTGTGTACATGCATCCTTCCTTGTGTGCTGCACTCCTCTGCGACCGTATGCACCCTTGCGTGCTCATTTGAGCTTGTGACTCCTTGATACCAGGGTTCTATCGCGGGTACTGGGCGTCCGTTGCCACGTTCGCGCCATCCTCTGCCATCTGGTTTGCGGTGTATGAGCTGTGCAAGTTCAAGCTGGCGCACATGTGGCCGACAGCTGCGCCCAACGCGGCGACGCTGAACCACTTGGCCAGCGGGGCTGTCGCTGGGTTTGCTGCCACCGTCATCATGAACCCATTTGATGTTGCCAAGACGCGACTGCAAACACTCGATGCAGGCATCAAGGAAGAGGCTGCCCTCATCAGGTACTTGTGTGTGTGTGTGTGTGTGTGTGTGTGTGTGTGTGTGTATGTGTGTGTGTGTATGTTGGGTGGCGGGGTTTGTGTGTGTGTCTATGTGTCTGTGTGTCTGTCTGTGTTCATGTGTGCATGTCTGTGTGTGGTGTGTGCGTGCGTGCCTGTACGTGTACGCACGCATTCACTCATAGCCACGCGCATCGTGTGTTTCGGAACATTGATCGACTGATGTGAGCGCGTGAAGCTCACCCTGCCCTCACCTTGCATCCACATGTGTGTGTGTGTGTGTGCGTGTGTGTGCACAGGCGCGGGTTTGTGTCATTGCTGCTGTGGACGATTCGGAGCGAGGGCGTTGCCGCCGTCATGAAAGGCCTGGGCCCGCGCCTCTGGTTCTCCGTTCCGGGATCAGCCATCACCTTCGCAGGTTACGAGTGGGCCAAGAGCCTGGCCAACGTCTCCAAGGACAAGGAATGAGGGGGGGGGGGTAGGTGGGCTGTTGTAGGCAGGCACCAACATCCCCAGTACACATTGTGTTGTACACAGGAGGGCATGTGATACGCCATGTATATTGCTCGTGCCACTGCTCACGGATGACCCACGCAGTGCATGTGTGGCTCTGCTTGCTTAGACTACGTTGTGTGATGATTCAGATGCCTTACTTACTGATTCGACTCGTGTTATTATTGACCCATAAACGATTTGCTGGCCACTTTCAGCGAGCAGTGTGTGTGTGTGTGTGTGTATGTGTGTGTGTGTATGTGTGTGTGTGTGTGTGTGTGAAAGGGGGGAGGGTGTGAGGGTCACACAGTTTGATAACTCTAAAACTTGTTGACCATGAGCGAGTGACGTGTGATGTGACACGACATTGTAACTTCCTAAGTACCTCATTGGCATTCGATCATGTATTGCTCATTCATAAAACAAAAAGCACAGAAAGCAGCATGGCGCAACCGGTACGAAGAAAAGCAAGTGCTGGAATGTGTCACATCACGTCATATCACTTTCATTTCGTGGTTGTCTTCTTGGTTCATCTCTGTGCGCACCCAGCAGCAGCACGGCGCTACACTGCGCGCCCCAGCGAGTATGCCATCACCGCTGCCATCATCATCATCACCATCGTCATTATTCACAGCCCATTCCCAGCTTCTCATTATCGCTCCATAAAACCATGCACCTCCATCCACTATGCCTCGCTCTCGTCCACCAAGCTCCCCGGTGAGAGCTTTTCCTTCTGCCGCTTGATGAGGCGATACAGCAGCGGGCTCTGTGTCAGCCGGTGGCGCCGTGCACCCACCGCCGTCACAATCGACGGATCAACCTGCACATGCAAGCGCAGCGTTCAGCGTCCAACACATTCGCGTGAGTGGTTGTGTGTCGTGTATATTGTCTTGTGGGTATGTGTGTGTGACTGAGAAGAGGAAGCAAGCAACCCCCCACAATGGCAGCTGTTGTTTGGGAAACGACGATGTGTTGAAGTGTTGAGTGGTGTTTGCTTGTTTGTGGCGAGCATGTTTGTTGTTTCGCTCCATTTTTTCGCTCTGCTGTTCGCACCTGCTGCTCGTGGAATGCCTGTGAGACGTGCAGAGGCGTGAGCATCAGCACTGTTGCTTGTCTCCTGTACGTTTCCGTCCCGTGGCACACAACGCATCACAGTGAGGTGGTGAGATAGAGATGACCAGTGCAGCAGTGGGCACTCACGTAAGCGGCCCATTCATCAGCCTCGTCTTCGCTGCACAATGCCCTCTGCAACACGTGTGTGCCAACACACATACACGTACACATACACGCACGCCGCGCACACACGTGCATGTTCAGGTGCACAGGCAGAGTAGGCGTGTGTGCGCTGCATACACCTACGTTGGGTCGACGCACTCGCCGCTGGTGAGAGTGACAACGGCGGAGTTGAGGTCGTACGAGTCAAGGCAGTGCTTCACTTCCCGCCCTGCACCAACAGCAGAACATGCAGCGAACGAGTGGAGGGTTTGGGCAGGTGCACGGCAAAATGTGTGAGCGCAGCAACCACTTCAATGCAGTGAGCAACACGTGTGGGTGCGATTGGGATGCATGGCAGCCACCCCAATGCGTCACCTGTGACACGGGTGGCACACCACGACACACAGCACACCACGATCAGCACAACAATGCGACTGACCAAAGTCCTGAAGATCCTGCTCGTGTACAAACTGCCAGGAGAGCTCGTGCTGCTCTGCCTGAACAATCAGCGCTCCCTTCACTCGCAGCGCTCGCAGCAGCTGCAGGCGCCATGACGCAATGCACCACAAGAGCAAACGTGAGTGAGAGAGTGTGTGCATGTGCATGTGCATGTGTACACATGTATTTACATTTGAATGTGTGCGCGTGTGTACGCAGTTTGAGGAACGCAAAAACAAAGAGTTCTTGAGCACATTGCTGCTGTCTCGCTTCAACAGTCACACACCTGCAGCGTTGGAAAGACAGTCTTGTCGAGGAGGCAGAGCAGCTCCAGCACCAGATTCGCGTTGTCCATGGGCGTTGCCTTTCGCGCCATGTCGGTGACACTCGCCCCGTTCTGCGCGTGCGAGTGAATGCGTGTGCATGTGAGCGTGCGAGTGAGCGAGCGCATGCGCGAGTGCAGGTGCGCGTGTGTGCGTGTGCGCGCGTATGTGTTAGTTTAAATGGGCAAGGCCTTCTGCTCACGCACTGCAGCTGCAGCACATGAAACAATGTGGCGCTCACCTTCTTGCGCATGGACGATCTTCTCCACGCAATCAAGTCTGCCAGCCCAATTTTGGTGCCTGCAGGCAAAACACAAACACACACACACATCAAGCACACACACACACACACACATGTGGGCGTGGGTTTGGAACAGAGTGAGTGGAGAGAGGGTGTCAGCAAAGTGCCGTGCACGCACGTCAAGGCAGCACAATAAATCACGCCGCTGTCCACGTACTCTTTGCATCGATGGTGGCTGTTTGGGGTGTGTAGGGGACAGACTGGGGTCCACTCTTGACGGCAAGTCGTGCCACGCCTATCGTATTTACATGTTGGTGGCGCGGGTGAGTTCACAGAGAAACAACATGGGTTGATACGCGTTCGTGTTTGATGACATGCATCAAGTATGACGTGTCACGTCTAATTTGGATCTCCCAACGCACCGCAGAAGAGTGGCAGGCTGTAAAGGGTGCCTGGGTGGAGGCCGCCGGTTGTCAGCGAGTCTTTGAGCGTCTCGGCGTCAACGGGGACACCCACATATTCGCCCTGGGCATCGACACACCCTGAGGCATTGGAAGACAGCACATACAGATCAGAAACGCAAAGGCCGCAGCACGTGGCTCGAAGAACAAGACAGCGCACACCATACAATCACTGCAGCTGGAGAGTGTATTGGGAACTTCATGCTCGGTGTCTGTACTTACGACTCATTTCTTTGTGTGGGAAGATGAGCGGGAAGAACCTCTCTCCATCCGGCGTCTCCTCGTGGGCCTGGTTGGTACCAACACGACAGGCAGGGGCGGGGGGGAGGGATGAGGACATGGTTTCAAGCAAGGCAGACGGAGGGCGTGGACAATGTGCAAGGCAAGGTGAAGTGTCAGTGCGTGGGAATGTCAAGAAAGAGGAAGGAATGGATGGACATTCAGCACGCATGAACACCGTTTCCCACACACAAACTTATACAACAAAACATACTAAGACACTAAGATACCACACACACGCACACACACGCACACACACGCACACACGCACACACACACACACACACACACACACACACACACGCACACACACGCACACACACGCACGCACATATGCGCGCACATATGCACCATATAGAGGCATTACAACACACCTGCTCTTGTAAACTCTGCACGATGGCCTGCTCCTCTGGGTCTTTGGGGTCGTAGCCGATGGTGTTTGGAGGGCTGACCACGCAAAACTGCTGCGCGATAGCTTTGCACATGGCCTTATGATTTGGATAGTGGGAGAGCTGGCAGTCCTTGGAGCAGTCTGCAGATGCACGAAGAATAGGCTGTTGAGCATGGGGTTGCGAAGTCACACAAGCACCAGCAAGCACGATGACCAAGACGTGCGCACG